TCATTAACTGGCTTACGTAGAATATTAGTCGTTTTGGATCCTGCTGTGCTGCAATCAGTAGAATCGCATGTTATGAAACCGTGATTTCGATTGGTCAGGAGATAAGAAGTCGTTTAGGAAAGCAACTTTAAGATGTGTAGGCACGAAGAGCGAAGTATTGCAAAAGACTGCTTACCTAGAGTGCAAAATAGACTATTTGCAGGGTAAATTATTTAAACACAGCAGCATTTTTCTCCTTTCATGTCGGATATAATGGTTTTCCGGAGGGGTCGTAGGAGAACGAGAAGAGGAAGGCCGGATTTTTTACTCAAGCACAACCACCCGGGGATGCTTTTAGTGCTAACAAAGACCAGCAAATGGGGTGAAAGCGATTCCGCTAGCGACGACATCGCCGCGGCGACAGAAACGACGAGGCAAAATAGTTTGAGCACTTTGAAAACAGGAAGAAATCAAATGCGTGTGTAGTCTTACTTTTAGAAAATGCTAGGCTTCGTTAATCACCTAGTCTGGTAGGGTTTTGTAGGGGAAGCGGTCGTTGGGAAATAAGTATGCGCCATTTGACCAGTGATGCCCTGTGTGGGTGTGCGGAAGTGGGTGGTTTTTCCTAAAAGAAACTCAGAGCAAGACACCTTTTCACAGTAATGAAGATGAGGTAGGCAAATCGTGTGTGGTTGGGCTACAAAAACTCACCGTGACACAGTCAATGGTCTTGTTAATTAGTGGAAAATGAAACCACCACTTCGTCGAATGGTCTAATGCTGCAAAATAATTTCGTGTAACTGACGGATTTGTAACCTTTGTGTGATAATTTAAACCGTTCAGACATGCTAAAATCCGCCTGATGGGCTAACTAGTCAACCAGGTTTGTCCAATCCAAAGATTTAATATCTAATCTCCAAAATGAGGCTTATGCGTAGAGGCACTTGGAAATCACTTTCAGCCTTACAACACGACCAGGAAAAAATCGTTTATTCTCGCTGTCAGGTAAAAACCAGGAAGCAATTTTAACTGAATGGCATGAATAGGACGACTTGTCATCCATTTATCGATGAATTTGTTCTTCATTTCATTAAGCTCCTTGAGAAATCGCAATAATCTATTCACAAGAGCCTACAGGAAGCCCACTGCCAGGAAATCAATAAAGAGTAGGGTCACACTTAAAAATAACAATCTTGCCCACGCCTACAACTCACCATGTGGATCATATTTGCGGCTGTGTTGGTGTAAAATCTACCGGTGTCGCACCTGGCTTCATGTCAGCCACATGCCTTAGGATCCAGATGTTCTCGAGGTGATACCGTGGATTTCGCAGATGCCTGTATTCCATCTTGTAGTTGTGAACCGATTGGAAATCTTAAAGCAGTCGATGTCGTGATTCATTGGATATCTACTCAAATTGCCAGAAAGAAAGAAGGTTGTGAAAAGTGCTTGACTTACCAGGCATGAACGTTTGCTTTTTGTGGTTTATCTAGCAAACCTCGATGGTTTTACAATGAGCATGGATTTCAGGCCCACGCTGAGGGGATCATAAGTTGGAGGCAATTTTACATGAAACTCTGTTTAACTCTGATTAAAATGAAAGGAAAAGTCATGTGTGATTGTTTGTTTGGTCGAAGTACTTCAACCTTTAGCTGATTTGCGTACTTGAAAAACGTCATAGAGGAAGGCGAGTTGGATGGGAGTGTTACTCTCATAGTCTCATCAAGCTGTCAGTATTTTATGACTGCAATGATTGGGAGTCAATGTTGAGAGTGATGGCTGGCGGCAAAACGAACTGATCCACTCTACAGTTCTTTTGCGAACCAACCAACCACTATTCGACAAAATGAGCACGGCCTCTTTGGTCGCTGTAACCAATGGTGACAACCTTTTACATCAGTAGAATACTCGAGGCAATGAGGCGTGCATATCAGCAGGGCAGCACAACTTACTATTTGCGCAGAGCAATTCTCTTGTGTGAAACTCTGTGGCTGACATGTGACAGAATAAAAAGTGCCAAGGAGCATTCGTCAGCAAGAGATATTTGGAGGTATTTCGATCTAGTGAACAACAAGAATCATTCAAGAAGTTTCTAAAGAATACCTTAGGTGTTTATTGGTACAGCACCTTATATCAAAACAGCTGATCGCCTTGCACAGTCACTAGAAGGGTCTGTGATATGTTGTAAGCAGGTCCTTGACCCACGAAGATGCAAATTTGATGTATTACTTGTCCATTACGCCACCAACATAAAACTCAGCGAGTGGTTGATGTGATGAACTTGAGCTCATAGCATGGACAGGTCTTGTTTCATGTGCACAATACGACGTCAGGAATTTATCTTCCTCAAGGCATGAGCTAGTTAGGGGTTGCAGGCTTGAATCCAAACTAGTGCCTGGCTCGTTTAAGAAATCAAATTTGAAATTGACTGAAACAGCATATTTCAACCAGAAACCTAATTTGATTTGAAACGCACCATATTTTGTAGCTCGCTTAAAGACATTTTACCAGTCAATAAACCAACGCGACAACATAAATAACTCAAGCTTCGAAGGCTCCCATTGGCTGGATTTGGAAGAATGAAGCACGAAGTAGAGTAGTAATTAGATAAATCGAGACTTGAAACATTGTTCGATGTGCTCGACGTCAAGGTGTTCGGCGCAAGTCACTTTTACACCGATATGAACGTTCAGCCTTCTTTCAATGCAGACCCATCTTGCCTTGAGGAATCTCATGCTGGACTAGAACTGATATCCTGTATTTTTTTTGAGGTATGCTTCATTGCGTGGTCTGTTTGCAAAGATCTACTAATTTTTGTCGATGCATGCTGCATAAATAACTGGTTGGCTGCTGCGGGATATAAACATGGACCTGTATAAACCTTCTTGAGAAAAAATTGTCTTTGACATTTCGATTGGTAGATGCGGAATTATACTTGTCAATCAGTTCTGTTAATTTCGTGGTAGATGCCAATGGTGGCCTTGACATTCAGTAACCAATAAAGCCTTGTAAAGACTTCAGCATCTGATTGGTTGCAGCGTTGTCTGATAGATGCATGCTAACACATAACATTTTTTGAGTTAAAAGTCGCAACACAGAGCCGATAATCGTACTGATCGGTCGTGATTTCGGTAGTCATGCATACACACGCACACAACCACAGTGGCAGATAGCGGGCTCTGACTGGGAACTCAGAACATTGAAATTAGATACCGCGCTCTCAGTGCTGAAATCCAAAACCACCCCTGATGATGACAATTGTCTGGAAACGAAGTACGACGGTAGGGCGGTGGGGTTGGGCTGTAGAAGATGATGCACAGTGACTCACACCGCCTCCGTCACCTGCTCAAATTAACTGGAATGAGAAATAAGTCACATTTTGCTGGGTGTGCCACCGTGGAATTTTGAAATCATCAGCTTGCAAACAATAAAACCGTAAACGCTGATATACTTGTTCGATTAGCACCTAGACCTTACAAAGCGATTCAGGAAACGCGACCACACCAGACTCTTGAAACCCGACACTGTTTGCTCCCACACCACAAAATCTGCTGTCCAAATTTTTAGTTTTGAAGTTCCGTCACATTCCCCACACATGGCCTCACCGGACTTCCGTCTTCTTTAATTAAAAGTCGTGCTTTTAAAACTTACATTGAATCTAAACAGTTTTGGAGAGTTCGTGTTGCATGCACCCTGAAAAACATGACAAGTTTTTATGCAAATTTTGCTTGCTGTGAAGCTCTTTCAACCTTTTTTTGCCCTGTAATTCGATGGTAAATCAAATTTGTTGAGGTCACTAGTTCAAGCATAATCAGGTCAAGTTTCTTCATGTGTGGGGACCTCAAAACCATCTCATAGCAACAGATAGATTTGTGACGAGTGCGTTCACGTTCAACCATATGAGTTTCATGGTTTGGATGCGCACCAGGTTTTGGGATTAAGCAGTACTTAAGTAGGCCATTGGATTTGTCGATATCCAGAATCCATTTTTTTAGCAAGAACATGTCTTGGTGCCTTACGTATGAGAAAATTGTTTCTTGCATATCTCTTTCACAACTCGAATCGCTCAAGCAGTAGATGACCCCTCAAAGTGTTCTAACAACTGATGCGTTATGGGTTACTTAGGCAAGGTTTGCTGAAATTCCAATAATGAATCATGATCTTGATGTATTAGGCCACTTTTTCGGGTTTCTGAGGCATGCGTTTTCGAATACAAATCAATTTGCACATTTCTGAGTCAAATACAATGCATATTTACATGCAACTGTTAAATAATAATGCATTTTCTCCACAAAACGTCACAAGAACTCAGGTCACTGGCAATGTAATCTCAACCACGCCTATCAGACTACCACAGGTTGTGGGCATTGATGGCCTGCAGACTGCACACCGAAATTTTCCAAAAGTTTAATCTGCAAATAATTCCAAAAAAATTCTAAAACTCGTGTAACCCGGGACAAGCTGTTGTCTCAGACTATCAGTGGTTTCGGCACTTTATATAGCGCTTGAAGGAAAGAATAGCAGTGGCGTCTACGGTAACCTGTGCCCCCAAGATTCTTTGTGGGACAATCAGAAAATCGCTCAATGCTTCTCAAGAAGGAGAGTTGGACGACGGTAGGAAAAACAGCTGTCCAGTGAGTAAACCTTAGCAATTTTTTAATCCAACAACGCCTCACTAGAGGCAGAAGGTGGTGACTTTGAAGGCAGTAAAGACGACGGTTTGAAGAAAGCAATTTAGCAAAATCTGGATGCTTGAAGTTGAGGTGATATATGCTACTTACTACGTAACATGCTGCCTGCCACGGAAACCCACTGCGTTCTACTGGCGTCAACATGCATTCTCCGATGGCGTCTGGAAGCACTTTTCGCCCGGAAATAGGACTTATTTTGTCCATTACATACCCCGAACTGATATATAGAAGACATTTTGGTCTTTTTTTTAAATATACTAAAATAAGACAACGGATATGAGAACACGACGAAATTATTAGCTTCTTTCATGGAGATACCAGTGTCAAACTCTAAGCTTGAATGTCAAAGTAAGCCTTGATGAAAATTGTATTGTCAATGATGTAGTTGCTGGAGTTAAGTTGATCCAATTCAATGAAACGTGGTGAGCCAAAATACTGGTTTCGTTCGTTTGTGGGTCGCTTCAGGTAAGCGTTATTGCTGGCAACGGGATTCGGCCGGATAGTCACCACGTGATCCTTTCGAGAAGTTGGATCAATTGTCTGGTCCAGCAGCTTTAGAGTTATCTGCAAAAAACGCAACAGAGCTGAGATAATCTGTTTAGTACCACCTTAGGTAGATGTCACCAGCTTCTTCATGACTGTCAACTGTTCACAGTGAATTAAGTAGTGAGTTAAAGAGAAACATTAGACATGTGACGAGACATCAAGTTCTGTGACGAGACGCTGTCCAGTACTCTAGTAGTGACTGTAGTTGAAGCAGATTTCAAGAAATGTCTGCATAATCATCGGCATGAACGTCATGAACAACAGGTCAATAACGTTTAAAACAGGTAAGGTGTGGGCTCCACATTAACCACTTGCATGTTCAAAGCAGCCAAACATGCTTGCACGTGTTCCATTAATAAATAATCAGCGTCTGTCTGTTTATCAGCATCTTCGAGATCGAAATAGCGATTAGTTATTACTACGGCATTGAACTAGGGTAGAGGGGATTAACAAGTTCATTCCGTTAACGTTTTCTCCACAAGATCATGAGTGTAAAAATCTCAATGACCAACTCACCGGACAAGAAAAGGGCCAACTCAACAAAGCATCGTACTCTCCACGGCAAAGGCAGACAAATACAGAGAGATATTTCCCACGATAGCGTTGTTCTCCATAGGGACACAGTGACAGACAGACGCGGTAACCGTGACGGTGGCTGTAAAATTAGACAAGGGATAGACTGCGGGTGTTCTGGACTCTCCTGCGAACTTTACTAATACAAATTCAGTAGAAACCTGATTTCCACTTTGATTACCTGTAAAATGGACTGGAAAAGAGTGTGGTCTTGCGACCCTGCTGCGCCTCCTCCACCTTCTCCCTGTAGCCGTCGATTCTCCAGATAAACGACGGCTCAAAGTAAGACTCATTGCGTTGCAGTTTGAGTTGAAGTTTCTTTATAGTCGCCTGACTCTCCCTCACTGCTTGAGCCTGAAACAATAATGTGTCATCTTCAAGTGCCAAGGTCAATTTCCAGAATCTCATAATTAGAAATTCCTGCCTAAAACCGTCTAGATGACGGAAGAAATGGTATCTTTTGCTAGAAAAAGACATTTCTATCTGGACCACTGCTTGTTGCTGGTGACACACAAAAATGGCCACGGCGACAAAGTGGACGTATAACCGTCCAATCACCTTCTTAGCCTGCATTCCAAGTTACCCGATCTCAGTGACCTTTGCTGTGAGTGGACGTGGAAGTGGTTTGCAAAAACAGATCTTTAAACACTCCACCTGCAAGTCGATGACGTTGTGGAGGGCTTGGAATGCCTCGCGCAGAAGGAGCATATGAAGAGGCAGTTCCGCGTTGAGGTGAGCTCTGACCTCTCGTTTTTTGCCTCGGAAGGTGCAACCGTGCTCCGTGAAGGGACAATTCATCGTCTGTTTGGTGCAGCCCGTCTCGAGGTGGGCAGACAATTCCTCCCTCGGCAATTCCTTTTTCTTGCAGCCATTTGGACAGGGGATGGGAAATCGCTTGCAGGTCTCCATGTGCGACGACTGCTCGTGCATCTCAATTTTCTCCTGGCAAAACTGACACACCACTGGACGTCTGGGACAGTCAGAGGTGACGTGCTGCTCCATGTACCGCACCTACGAAATATTTTACGACATCGGTTGAGTATCCGGTTCCTTAACAATGGTCCTTCGTTTGTAAATGTGACGAGGTTATTTTAGGAATGAAGTGGTGTAGTGGAATGTTCTGAAACATTTTAAAGTTGCTTAGGTGGGCGTTTTATTTTAAAATGTCACCTTAAAATGTCCTTTTGCTAAATTCGTGTACACAAGTTGGAGAAGTTGAGTGATATATTAAAGACCACCAGAACGTCAGATATCTTCAATTACTTCAAGACTCTTCTGTGTTATTTCCACCATTTTGTTATCGTCTAACTAATGCGGAAGTCTTTGGAAAATACTTGATGTGCTTGCAAACCAGGTAGCCTGTTTGACTGGAATTCGTGGAATGCTCCAAAAGAACTCGTCCAATGAGCAGCATCCTTCTTACCTCGAATTCGACACCGCAGTTGTAAATGCACGTGACGAGACGGCATTGGCACTCGTCCAGGTGTTCGTTTAGTTCCATAGCGAGACCGGTCCATTGACAGCCCTGCTCAAAGTAGTTGCACTTCACGCCGAGGTGATCCAACTCTCGTTGCATTTGCTTGTCAACGGTGACTTCACTGCGCTCCAATATCGTCTCGTCAACCGGACATCGTCCAGTTGATCTGCCAAGAGGAGACAATTGAACAGGAAGTCGGAAGTGGGGGGACCATACACACACACACACAAGTCAACTTACGACATTATGTCCGAATAGCACGCGGAACAGCATGAGTGTGCACAAGCCTCAAATTTAACCGGTCGCCTGAGAATCTCCTTGCAGGCACAACACTTAAACTTGTCGGTTGGCATCGGGGTGTAGAATATGGGCGTGCTGTTATCCACAGATCCGTTGACGGATTTATTGTTCCAACCGTCGAGTTTCCGGACCGATGCGCTGTCATGGCGGTTTCCATCGGTGTCGGGGTTGGTCGAACGCTTTTCGCCTGTCCACCCGCACAAAAGGAAACAGGATTAGGAAGTGGATTTTATCTTTATGTCGCTTGGCTCTTATCGGCTCGTAACGATTTCTGGAAATATCACCATCAGCAACTAAATCGCACTCCTTTTTGCGTCTTTGTGCTTCAAAATATTCACGTGTTCTGGAGGCTTGAACGTTTTGCGTTCTTCTCTGTCGACGCTGATCATTGAACCTAACGTGCTTCATGTCCCCCACCAACTACACAGTCCTTGATGACAAATGCAAGAAAATGTGTAGGTCTGTGGATTAAACAGGAATTAAGTTTCACGTTTGCCAAATTATGTCCTGGAACAAGCGCCAGAGAAGGCGCAATTTACTACTTCACTGTGAATCGTGTATATTAACACTCCTTAATCCGGTCACCCCACCTCCGACACAGGGTTCCCCTATTCGCAGAATTTCGCCATCTCCGCGGATCCTCAACTTCCCTTTCATTCACACGAATATTTATCTTGGACTATCCTCACACCTAGGTCCGATTTTAGCGCATGTATGACTCACACATCCGATGTATAAATACACACGCGCCAACCTCATGGCGACACCAACGTGGTTGAACTCTGAAGTAAAAGGTTGCGTCCACGTCCTTTCCGATCTTTTTCTTCATTGTGAGTATCAAGGAAGCGTAATCGGGCGAGGGTTAATTCAGTGACACCGGCGTGGTTCAAGACCACATGCAAGGCACCACAGCAACCTTTTTATAGAGTGTGAAAATCGCTTTTTCAAATATGAAAATAGTCTAAAGCAGCCTACGACCGATTGCGTAATAATTGTGAGTGGTAAAAAGCAGTTTTTGAAACCGGAGCAAGATCCTTCGTCGTAAATGTTCATTAGATACTTCCAGGCGATGCTTCGATCAATGAGTTTAAATTAATACGCACTAGATTGCGCCGTAATGGCTTATACACCCGCACAAATTGCGGATGCCTTAGACCCAGTTAAAACTACACCTTCTAATAGCCGAGGTCACAAAATATTCGTGAATTGTCCCTTCCACAGCTCCTTAACTTTGTCAAATTGTGGCAAAGCTTAGACAGTAATAATACGATTGAAAGTATTGTGTTAACTTGAAATTAGGGTAAAGTCATTCCCTAGGAAATTTCCTACCTGAAACCAAAATTTATTTTGGGACATTTTAGGTGAAATGGCTGCTTTCAGTAGTTTTCATTAAAATCTCTTGTTGACTTCACTATTCTTCTAGTACTTCGGCATTGCTTCGGTGTTTGAGTGGGTGTGGGTGTGTGCAGTATGAAACAAAAAATCATCATGGCTACTTGCTACGATGATTCCGACTTGACAAGATTTTCAAGTACAAATGACGTTGCCAGGCAACCTGTTAATTAGTGTGCTTTGACGCCAACGCCACTTTCGCATATTCTTTTAAAGCGTCGCCAACCTACTCATCGATCCACATAGTCATTCGGCTCTCAACACCAATCATATTAATTCCTGGTTGAAACGTTCGTCTTTAAATCTTGAAGTTCCTGGCTAAATTGGGTTCCTGTTATCCCTGGTTCATGCGAAAAAACCATCATCATGTTCGTTTAAAGGTCGTCCTAGAAGTTGGCAATAAAATTTCTCCCTGTAATTTGATTAATGTTACTCTAGGTGATGGTTAGCAATCACATCACCGGATAAAAGGCTCCATGAGCATTGCATAGAAATGCATTATACCAAATAATTAGTGTTAGCCCAGATCTTGTGCAAACTGATTTTCAGGTGTGTCAAAGTTAGCAAGAGAGCAAAAATGAAAGAAAAGTTTCCTTGATGAGAGAAAACTTACGTTCGTTGTCCCTGTCGTCTTGACTGAAGCTCATGCGTAGATTAAGTGATTTGGAGCTATGCTTAAAACGCCATCCCAATTCGTAACAAAGCACATTTAGCGTTGCCTCGGCAACACAGTTTCACATGTAACGTTTTTTCCGGTATTATTGAAGGAGAACAATGGATTCTCGTGACAGCGTCTACAAGCGACAGTAGAAGACGACACACATTGCTGATGGTTTAACACTTGCGTGTATTACATCCTCAACTTCCTCAATCCTAATGTCGATGCTCACATAACAGAGAAAGATACATCTGGTCTCTTCAAATGCCGCATCGACAGCTAACTGAAAGACCTGCTGGATTTCTACACTACCTTTAACTAATTAACTTCGGATCTGCACTCAAGGTTAACGCCAGGCAGAATGCGGACTCCGTGTAGGGTCGATTTGAAGTTACTTTGTGCCTGTTGAATTCATTTATCAACGCCTCATCATAATTTGATGCTTTAAAGCTGTGATCTGCCGACTCGTAATTGCTGAACAATCTGGCTGGAGGTGAATTTGGCAGAATCAAGAGTAAATGGGGCACCAAATTGTCCAATTCCAGTACATCGTTTGGGATACAGTCCAATGAAATCCAAATGAAATTCAGACTATAACAGAAAAGACAGGCGTTACGAAAGTGTATTGGTTCCTAGCATTTCGTGCAACGTAAAACGTGCGCCTCATCCTATAGAATCATATCAGCGGGAGCATATGGAAGATTTACTTTGAAGGTCACATTAAACCCACACACACACCCCATCCACCCACTTCCACAAATACAGTTGGCTCTCGAATAAAATTCCATTACCAGCACAGGCTTTTTTTCTTGCAACCAATGATGTAAGACACAATTCCAGATAAATTCAAGCATCTGCTTACAGTGCTAGTTCATTTGACCAAACGTATGTCAAATACGAGGATAATCCGCATATGCATTTTGGTTTTAAGCACATTTATGCTCAGCACCATCGTGCGTCAAATGTGTAAAGAGAAAGGCTGCTTGGAAACTGAGCTCTTTTATGTCATACCTACAAACACTCGATGCAAATGGCCTCCAAGTGTTCTTGAAGACATTGGCTTGGGTGGGCTTGGATACAACATAACGATATGCGTGCGAGTGAACCCCAAAGCGAAGAGTAGGAATGCATTAAAATCCTATCATCTGAGGGACCTCTTTCAAAGTATCGGAACACTACGCATGGTTTCATTTGGGGTTCTCAAAAAGTTACCTCGAAGATTCTGGAAGCTGGTGAAGTACCCACAGGTGTACTACACGTATCCGCAGGATGTTCCGTTGAAGCTAATCGTCAAGGCCATCAAAACCGGTTTCCCCGTCTCTGATGTAGGTTGGCGTTTTACTTGAATCCATGTTTGCTTCATTTAACCTTTCTTCATTGCACCATCTTGCTTTTGTAAACCAGTCAATGGAATTTCGGATGTGATCTCATGGGTAAAAACTTATGAAAATTCTCACGTAACCAGGCATCTAAGATGACTGGCAATTGGTGGTGCACCAAATACCATTTAGCACGAAGGCACCACCTTAAGCGATTCGTCAATAAACGTAACGAAGGCTTTCATCACACCATGACAATGGGTTGTTTAACCAGTGAGATTGCAGTCGAGCTAGGGAGTTGCAGCCAATTTATAAGTAAACAAATGACAGATACTGCCACGTTGGCTCGTAGATTTTAAAGGAAATCAATGGCAGTTAATATAGAACTGCAGGAAAACATTGAATTAGTTAAGAAAAGCAAATAGAACGAAAGGGGTAATCGCTTCTATTTTTGCTCATTCAGATACCACAGTACAATTTTCCCATCCGCATCCTGAAAACAAGCACAAAGGTCTGTTCAAACAACACCAAACACGACCTCGTCATTGTGGTGAAAAGTGGCAATCTCGGATGGGATGCGAGAACGGCGTTTCGTGCATTCATGCAACGCGAGAGCGCCCGTTACCCAAAGCTCAAGGTGGGAGTCGTCTTCAGTCTCGGATTGCCACGCAAACGCGGTGGCAGATTATTCAATCGCGACGGCAATATCATCAGCCTGCCCGGGAGCAGCGGTGACATGCTCGACCAATTCGATGGCAAGGAAGATGTTGTGATGGAACGCATCAACAAGGAAATCGACGATTACGACGACATAGTGCTGGCCGACTACGAGGACACGTATTACAACTTGACGTGGAAGACCGTCACAAACCTGCGATGGCTGTCAGCATTCTGCAACAAATATCAAGCCAACACATTCATGATCATCGACGATGATCATCGCGTGAATCTGTCCATGGTGGCACAGTTTCTCAAAAGTGTTTCAACCGAGACAATGAGAAAGTCCATTTTCGGATTCATTGCGAAACGCGACAAGGCCCTTAGATCGCCATCAGCGAAGTGGTACCTGTCGTACCGTGAATTCCCATGGGATTTGATGTACCAGTATCCCCGAGGATTTTTGCAATTCATAGGAGCTGACATCGTCGACGACATGGCCATCGCGAGTGCATACACGCGGTACAATTATGCACCGGAGGATGTGTTTCTCGGAATGATGGCATTTAAACTGGGCATCAGTATGTACAATGTGGATGCAATGTGTGATCACGGTAAATGTGATGAGGAGAACAGGGCGAAGCGTCCCGACTCGAAGCCAATTGGCGTGCATTTTGAACATCTCTCCACACAGTAGATACAAACATTTTTTGTATGATTTGAGATTTATGCATATTACTTCGTACTCACTTTGAAGGCAATCAAATAAAACAAACGTTGTATTTTTTCAACATTTGTATTTATGGATAGTTCCGATTAGTAATGATTGGTTAAACCCCTTCTAATTAAACAATTATAGCAGCAGACTTATCATTTTAACAATTGGCGGGCTGTTGACCCATCAGATGCTCTCTTCAACCAATCAACTCTGGCCAAAATCGTTTTCTTGTGCATTTACGATATTGTTCAAAGTAATTGCAGTATGTGGCGTCACTATTTCACTATCAAGTGTTTTGGATGCTGTAGCCTAATTTGAAAATAGCTGAAATCACAGTAGCTATTTGTTTCCCCATTCTCATAACATCCTTAGCACCAGAACCAATGGGCAAGCGTAGTGTATCCCATAGGTTCAAAATTGTCGCCCCGATTCATCCACAGGGGCTTTCGATTTTACTCATTATGCTGAACCCTAATGTTGACCTTGAACTGGATTTATGTAGGTACCAACAAACCCCGTAATCCCCTAAGGTAACAATCAACGTCACACGCTCCGAGTTATGTACCCATAAGTGGGATCATCCACGACTGAACACAGCCGCATTCTGTGGCCTAATAAAGGCCTGAGCCTCCGTCAGCTTTGGTCTTCTCACTCTTCTCAGGGAGCTTAATGTTAGATTGAACCGCAAAAGAAACAACGCAGTTACCCGATGTGGGCGTGAGAGACACACTGGTGCCCTTCAGCACACGCGTCGACACACACGCACATCTCTTACATGAGTAAACAACACTTGAATTCTTGAGTGTGCTGAAAAGTCGAGAACAAGGTGATGCACATTAAAGAAAATGGCTGAGAATGATGACTACCTGGCTGGAGCATCGGTAGTGATGAAAACGAGCAACTGCACTTCACTGGTTAACCGTCTAAGCTGGTTCAGCCCCGCTGTTTTTCTACCCGCGTTTTGAGAAAGTAGTTGCACAACTTGTTGATGCCATGCCAGTCCATTTTTAGATTGTATTGGGAGAGTGCAGTGGATCACATGGCGAGGCTTAAATGTGACAATTGAGCAGCTAAAGGCAATCACGCTTTAGGTCCCCTCCTAAAGCTACTTGGCAGCGTCACTTTGGTTTGCTTTTACCGTTCCTAATTGAGCGCATGGAAAAGATCCTAAAGGACTGACGCAAATGTAGGTTGTCAGTGAGAGGTCTAAGGGATGGGATGACGAAATGAAGTGAAATCACCGGCGAAATGTCAATTTAGCGGCAAATAGTCATGGAAATTCTGGCTGCCCCGTCATTACCTAACGCATAACGTGTATCTCGGTGACACTGATACAAATTCTCAGATAAAGAGTCTACTTTAGGCAATGTGTCTCGTGGCAACCACATGGTGTGTTCCGAGGTCAACAGTGGTCCATTGAAAGGAGCCGTGGGCTTATATTAAACACTAATCTCGTCGATGTCATGTTAAGTCTGTTTCGGCACATTGGCTGGCTTAGAGAAATGTCGGGTTTTCTCGTTGGTTAAATCTAACTACAACTTTAATTAATATCAGATCTAATAGAACTATGTTCAGATTGCGCATGCAAGCTGCTGACGAACAGACTTTCAATGGGATGAATTCGCGGCTGAACCAATCAAGAGTCGAGATATTTTGCCTTCCGTCAGTCTGATGGCTCAATCCAGCCTCACCACACGGTGGCATTACTTCGAACCATTGCCGCCTAAGGGATTGGCAACAGGCTATGCATGGAGAAAATGCACTGATTCGACCGTTGACAGAAACCATTCAAAACTAATTTTGTCCAAACAGGATTTCAGTTCAATTTTAACAGCCAGCCACGAGCATATCACTCGTGCGGGACTCCCCGCAAGCTCTTCTGTCTGACTAGATTGTACCGAACGCTGACACGTGAATGAACATCACCCCAACTTAAAGTTTTAACGATACGACAATTTTTGCATCGATGCTTCGTGTGTGTTTGTTCACTACCTTCAATGTGATTCATTTCGCTGCTGTTATTTTAACCGTTAAGTGATCAAATTCTAGACGGATGTAAATGGACACCTGGATGATGTACCTAAGTTGGCGAATTCGCAGGTGGATGTATTATGGTACATTCAATTGGTTCTTGAATCTTGACTCAGAGTCGGAAATATTGGAACACGGTAGGGCCTCTTACTGGAGCTAGACTGAAATCGTAAACTTTCGTGCAATCTCCTGTATCTATGGGGGATAGGTGTGTTAGAAGAGTTGCCAGATGGTGCCAAATGTGCTGTTTTCTGATAGATTGCGGGGGAGGGGCTAGCGGCTACCCTGTTTAGAACAGAACCACTCGCAGATTCATGGAAAGTTTTCAGCCCATATCTGCACAAGCCTTCATGAGGTGGTTAGTGAAGTGTTTGGGTAGTATTGATAGAACAAATACAAAGTGTATCATGATGAAGTCGGAAATTGTACTGTGTTTGTGCAATTCAAATCTCATTCAATGAAGGTAATGCACGGTCATAAAATTACAACACCGCTTGACAAAGCTAAAAAACCGGATTCTTTGATAAATTTTAATGAATTGGCGTTCAATTACGGTCATTCGGATAATGATGTGGGTTCTGCGGCATCAAAGACCTCTATCTGTTGGTGAAAACGCTCAACTTGCCCGATAGACGCCGAATGATGAGCATGTTTTCGGTGGTTTTTGCCAGGAGTCGGGGAACAAGCATGAGAAATGGTAGAATAAGTACCAGTCAACTGTGAATGCAGCGGTAACCGAGCGATGAGGCAAGTCTGTTGATAAGTCATATAATACCAAATAATCTGCGCAAATTTGTCCCAAAATCGCAGCATTAGAAACTAGTTAATTATTTTGGGAAATAATGTGAAGTTACCAAATGTGCCCTGACGCGCATAGGAGCCAATTTCGACCTTGTGAATGGTTGTTGAGCTCTCGTCGATAAAATGCAAATTTACAAGAGTCAAATGGGCATGAAGTGCTGTGTAAAATAGACAGAGGACTGAGGCTATAAAAGTAGACGTTTACTTTTGGCTTTTAAATAACTGTGGCGAGTTGAAGCGTAGTTGTGCTCAAAAATGCTGAAAGCACGTAAATGACTCGGGTGTAGCAAATGCAAATCAAGGTGATCCATCTAAAAGTCACAAAACTAACTGCTGATTTATTCGGTTATCACTTGCAGAAACAATTTGTTCCTACAGTTTACGCCTGATTGGAGACAAATTGTGATTAATGGTCATCGTTTTGCTCTCCGTTGTCCCCTATAACTATCGCTTCTTTTGAAAGTACTGCGTTGGGTTTCCTGTCAAAGGAAGCCGAAGTGAAGGTGTAGAATTCTGCCACAGAGTCATTCAAGTGAACTTGCAGGGATTAATGCAGATTAAAACCTAAATGAGCAGGATGCCACTGGAGATTTCCGTTTATCAACCCCCCATGTTTTACTGTGCTCATTGAGCTGCAGGTGGACTGTCTTCTTATTAGATATAAAAAAATTGTCCTTCAGTTAACAAGTTCAAGATGCTTTGTGTGTGTTGTTCACATTCTTTACAAATTTTGCTTGTCTATGTTGGCAAACGCCGTACAAGACGAGCCCTCAGCAAACCTCCCACCGTTGATTTGAAGTGTAAGCAATTTAGGTAAAACAGCGAAATGCAGTCGATGTGTCAACATTTGGTTTCCCAGCACTCTGCGTCGATTTAATCAGTAGAGCATTTTGTTTAAATAAGAGGCTATTCAGAGCATTAATTATTATTTAATCGTTAATACAGCACACATGCACTACTTCAACTTATTGCACAGTAGGCCTACATTCATGCCAAAATTTAGCCTTTACTGGCCTAGCATGGAAAGAAGCATTAAGACTACAATTATTGGACCCTGTTTGAACAATCAGATGACTAATTTAATGAATTAGATGCTAGACCAATCAGAGGTCAAGTTTCATGCCTCGATCAATGAAGTCGTGGGTAAATCAAATAAATTATCTGCAATATTTCTGGCAAGGGAGATTATCAATGAGGATAATGACTACAAATGATTTGGGTTGTTCACACGATTTAATGAGTGCGCAGTTGCATATTCAACTTCCAGTGAGCATTTCTAGTCATTAAATCACAATCTCCCAGGTGCCATAAGTACTGTCGATGATTCGTAATTTTATCATCTTCAAACTGGCATTATC